CCATAGCAGAGAGCTGGATGGAGCAGCCAGGACTCGAACTGGCACCCACATGGCATGCCGTCACTGCAGGCGGCAGCTTTACCAGCTATGTATGTCACAGTACCAACTCCAGGATTGTTTTATTTCTTTTTCAGTTGATTTACTGTTGGCATATAATGTTACTGATTTTTTGTATGTTGACTTTGTATTTGGCAAATTTATTTATTAGTTCTAACAGCTTCTTTGTGGAGTTTTGGAATTTCCTATATATAAGATCATGTCATCTGCAAACAGTGACAGTTTGACTTCCTCCCTTTCAGTTTGGATCCCCGTTATTTCTTGCCCTTGCCTAATTGCTCTGGCTAGGACTGCCAGTACTCTACCCAATATTTAAGAAATGACACCAGTGCTTCTGAAATTCTTCCAGAAAAAAATGAAGAGGAGGCGATACTTCCAAACTTATCTTATGAAGACAGCATTACCATGGTTCTAAAACCAGACAAAGATAATAAAAGAACATGTTTTTTAAAAAGTAGTTATTAGTTTACTTACTTGAGGATCAGAGAGACAGAATTCTCACCTACCGCCTCACTCCCCAAATGCCTGCAATAGCCAAGGGTTGGCCAGGCCAAAGCAGGGAGCCTAGAACTCAATCCAGGTCTCTCATATGGTAGCAGGGACCCAGGGATTTAAGCTGTTGCCTCTGTCTCTCAGGAGGCACATTAGCAAGAAGCTAGAATCAAAAGGATAGCTAATGGGTCCAGTGCCGTGGCGTACTTTGTTAATCCTCCACCTGTGGTGCCGGCATCCCATATGGGTGCCGGGTTCTAGTCCTGATTGCTCCTCTTCCAGTCCAGCTCTCTGCTGTGGCCCTGGAGGGCAGTGGAGGATGGTTCAAGTGCTTGGCCCCTGTACCTGCATGGGAGACCAGGAGGAAGCACCTGGTTCCTGGCTTCGGATTGGCACAGTGCTGGCCATGCGGTCATTTGGGGAGTGAACCAACGGAAGGAAGACCTTTGTCTCTGTCTCTCTCTCACTGTCTATAGCTCTATCTGCCAAAAAAAAAAAAAGGCATAGCTGAGACTCAAACCTACTAACCCTAACCCTGATATGGGGTGGGGGTATTCCAGGTGGTAACTTAACTGCTAGGCCAACTACTCACTCCACCGAGCACTTTTTTATTCACCACTTGTATATTATTTTTTGGAGAAACGTCTGTTGAAATCCTTTGCCCATTTTTAAACTAGGTTATTTGCTCAAACAGTTACTTTACCACTAGCAAAATGCTTGCCCCAGTAGTAATTATTTTTATTGTGATCATGATCATCAGGATTTGGTTTATAAACAAATAAAAGAGGCCGGCACCGTGGCTCAATAGTCTAATCCTCCGCCTAATGGCGCTGGCACACCGGGTTCTAGTCCTGGTCGGGGCGCCAGATTCTGTCCTGGTTGCCCTCTTCCAGGCCAGCTCTCTGCTTTGGCCCGGGAGTGCAGTGGAGGATGGCCCAAGTGCTTGGGCCCTGCACCCCATGGGAGACCAGGAGAAGCACCTGGCTCCTGCCTCCGGATTAGCACGGTGCACCGGCCGCAGCGCGCTGGCCGCGGCGGCCATTGGAGGGTGAACCAACGGCAAAGGAAGACCTTTCTCTCTGTCTCTCTCTCTCACTGTCCACTCTGCCTGTCAAAAAAACAAACAAACAAAAAACAAACAAACAAAAAAAAGGTTGCTGCATTTGTTTGCTAAGAATTTGAATAGAGATTTTAATTTTCTCTACATTTTTATATTAAATCCAAGCACTGATGATAGTTTGATTTCATTATTAGAATTACTATTATTTTAGTCATTACAGCATGAGAGTTTGGTATCAAGAAAGGTGATGATGATTATGGTAACATTTCAATAGCAAGGATCACAGAAGCACTTTTCTCATGGTATCTTATGAAATTGTTGTCATTACAATTAGTTTACATAAAAGTAAATCAGCCAGCCTTTGACACAAATTTTAAACAAAAGATTTAATAGTTTTTTCTTTTCAAGGAACAATTAAAGACACTAGAAGAAAATTTAAAGTAAACAAGAACAAAAGAAGGTCATGTGTAGCCTGTGCACCCCAAGGTGGGCCCCCTCTTTAAGATGCTGGACCCAAGGAGAAGTATAGCTTGCTGGGCCACACACTGGTCTGGGGATCCCATGACCCTCTGACCTCTGGCTTCATCTGAGTGACAGTGTCCAGCCACTAACTGTGCACTGATCCTTTTCTGGGGGCCTAGAAAAGTGCAGTAGGGCCGGAGGCAGGGAAAGGCCACAGAGGGAGGCTGTCCCTGACAGCAGCCGCTCGTCCTGCCCACCCCGCCAGTCGGTTTCTGAGTCTGGCATGGGCGAGACAGAAGCATCATCTTGTTCTCATGTGTGGGAAGGCTAAGAAAAGAAAAATCCTTCTTGGCCCAAACGTTTAAACAAGAATTACACTGGGATCGTTTGTTCTCACTCTGGCACAGTCAGAATTAATTTGGCAGTCCGAAAGAGGGTGTTTTCATTTTCAGTTTTTAATCTGAGTTACTTAATGCAGGGATAGATGGGGAAAAAATAAATAAAATATGGCTTAAGTCTTATCAAGTGGTATTGGAACATCCCCAAGTCATTTTAGCAGAGCACTTTGTTAGTGACTGAGGGCTCCGGACTCAGACTGCACATCCAAGTTGCTGATGAACTTCTTGTGAAATGATCTACATGGTGGAAGACAAGCAGTGAAGTACGACTGGGTGACTGGGAAATACATGTAGCAAACAGAGCTTAAGAGATCTCTATCTTTTTTTTTTTTTCTCTTCCTCCTTAGGTTTAATAAAGTAAACCTGTTTTCTGCAAACAACTGAAAAAGCTGCCCTCTGACTGTTTCTTGGGTCCTCATGAAGTAGCTGGAACTTGTACTGTGAGGCCCTTGATGGGACAAGCTCTCACCTGCTGATCACGCAGTGACTGTCACCATGGCCAGCAAGAGAAAATCCACCACCCCTTGCATGATCCCAGTGAAGACGGTGGTGCTGCAGGACGCCAGCGTGGAGACCCAGCCTGCTGAGGCCGGGCCTGATGGACCCCAGCAGGACCTGCCTCCAGAAACGCCTGCTACCAGCAGTGAGGCAGCCCAGAACCCAGGTCCTGACGGCCCTGCACTGGCCAATGGGCATCGGAGCACTTTGGATGGCTATTTATACTCCTGTAAATACTGTGACTTCAGATCCCAGGATGTGGCCCAATTTGTGGGACACATGAACTCAGAGCACACAGACTTCAACAAAGACCCAACTTTTGTATGCACTGAGTGCAGTTTTTTGGCAAAAACCCCTGAGGGACTTTCCCTGCACAATGCCAAGTCTCACTTGGGGGAAGCCAGCTTTGTGTGGAATGTGGCCAAGCCAGACAATCATGTGGTCGTGGAGCAGAGTGTCCCCGAGGGCACAGGCACTTCTGACCCAGCAGGTGAGCCCAATGCCGAAGGGACTGATGGACAGGCTGAAATCATTATTACCAAAACTCCAATCATGAAGATAATGAAAGGTAAAGCTGAAGCCAAAAAAATTCATACACTCAAGGAGAACGTCCCTAGCCAACCCGTGGGTGAGGCCTTGCCAAAGCCGTTGGCTGGAGAAACAGAGGTGAAAGAGGGCGACCACTCCTTTGTCAATGGAGCGACTCCCGTCAGCCAGGCATCTTCCAGCTCCACTAAGCCCCCGCATGCCACCAACGGGCCCCTGATAGGCACAGTGCCAGTGTTGCCAGCTGGCATAGCACAGTTCCTCTCCCTCCAGCAGCAGCCCCCAGTGCATGCTCAGCATCACGCCCACCAGCCCCTGCCCACGTCCAAGGCCCTTCCCAAAGTGATGATTCCCTTGAGCAGCATTCCAACGTACAATGCGGCCATGGACTCCAACAGCTTCCTGAAGAACTCCTTCCACAAGTTCCCCTACCCCACCAAAGCTGAGCTCTGCTATTTGACTGTGGTGACCAAGTATCCAGAGGAACAGCTCAAGATCTGGTTCACAGCCCAGAGGCTGAAACAAGGTATCAGCTGGTCTCCCGAGGAGATTGAGGATGCCCGGAAGAAGATGTTCAATACAGTGATCCAGTCTGTACCTCAGCCCACAATCACAGTCCTAAACACCCCTTTGGTCGCCAGTGCAGGCAACGTCCAGCACCTCATCCAGGCCGCTCTCCCAGGCCATGTGGTGGGGCAGCCCGAGGGCACAGCAGGGGGACTTCTGGTCACTCAGCCGCTGATGGCCAATGGGCTGCAAGCCCCAAACTCATCTCTCCCCCTGTCTGTTACATCTGTCCCTAAGCAGCCAGCTGTGGCACCCATTAACACTGTGTGCTCAAATACAGCCTCAGCTGTGAAGGTGGTCAATGCAGCCCAGACGCTCCTCACGGCGTGCCCCAGCATAACTTCCCAAGCCTTCCTGGATGCTAACATCTACAAAAATAAGAAATCTCATGAACAGCTGTCAGCTCTGAAAGGGAGCTTCTGTCGGAACCAGTTCCCTGGGCAGAGTGAAGTTGAGCATCTGACCAAGGTGACCGGCCTCAGTACCAGGGAGGTACGGAAATGGTTCAGTGATCGGAGATACCACTGCCGGAACCTGAAGGGCTCCAGAGCCATGATGCCCGGAGAGCCAGGTTCCATCATCATTGACTCTGTGCCAGAGGTGCCCTTCTCCCCGTCGGCCAAGGCCTCAGAGGTGACCTGCATCCCCATGGCAGCCACACTAGCAAGCCACCCTGCCGCCAAGCGACAGTCCTGGCACCAGACTCCTGACTTCACACCAACCAAGTACAAGGAGCGAGCCCCCGAGCAGCTCAGAGCCCTGGAGAGCAGTTTTGCACAAAACCCCCTTCCTCTTGACGAGGAACTGGACCGCCTGAGAACTGAAACCAAAATGACTCGAAGAGAAATTGATAGCTGGTTTTCAGAAAGACGGAAAAAAGTGAATGCCGAGGAGACCAAGAAGACCGATGAGACGGCCTCTCAGGAGGAAGAGGAGGCTGCGGAGGATGAGGGTGGAGAAGAGGGGGTCCTTGGCGAAGACGGCTCCGCACAGGTGCCCGGCAGCCACGTCTCAGCGGAGCGCAAAGTCAGCCCCATCAAAATCAACCTGAAGAACCTGCGGGTCACAGAAGCCAATGGCAAGAGTGAGCTTCCAGGGCTGGGTGCCTGTGAGCCCGAGGACGATGGCTCCAGCAAGCTGGCAGAGCAGCCCCCCGGCAGAGTGAGCTACAAGAAGACGGCCCAGCAGCGGCACTTGCTGCGGCAGCTCTTTGTCCAGACACAGTGGCCAAGCAACCAGGACTACGACTCCATCATGGCCCAGACAGGTCTGCCACGGCCTGAGGTGGTGCGCTGGTTCGGGGACAGCAGGTACGCTCTGAAGAATGGCCAGCTCAAGTGGTACGAAGACTACAAGCGGGGCAACTTCCCACCAGGGCTGCTGGTCATTGCCCCCGGCAACCGTGAGCTGCTACAGGACTACTACGTGACACACAAGATGCTGTATGAGGAGGACCTGCAGAGCCTCTGTGACAAGACCCAGATGAGCTGCCAGCAGGTTAAGCAGTGGTTTGCAGAGAAGATGGGCGAGGAGACCCGGGCTGTAGTGGATACAGGCAGTGAGGACCAGGGCCCTGGTGCTGGCGAGCCTGCGGCCATTCACAAAGGGGTTGGTGACACCTATTCGGAAGTATCTGAAAACAGTGAGTCGTGGGAGACAAGTGCCCCTGAGGCCAGCTCAGAGCCCTTTGAGACGTCGAGTCCCCAGGCCGGACCTCAGCTCGGTAAGGAGTCCATGGGAGCCCTGGAGTCGTCCGTGGGGGAGAGGAGGGCACGTTCACAGATGGGCACTGTGTGTGTTGCAGAGAGCAGGTACCGAGCAGGAGGAGAGCCGCGTGGCTGCTCTGGGGATACTTGGCAGCAGGTGCCATGGGAGCACTGTTTGATAAAGGGGTGAGAAGTGGAGTTTCGTTTCAGTTCTTGTTTTTGTAAAGCCTGTGCAGAGGAAAGAACTTGGTGTGCCTAAAGAGATGCAAGTTTTTCCAGCTATTTCTTAGCAATGGGAGAGTGATTCAGGTCATCTTAGGCGGCTCCACAGCCCCTGGGTGCCAGAGAGCGAAAGGGCATCAGGGGAATTCAACAGTATTGGTGACAAGAGGAAAGAGAGCCCTTAATTATTCTAAAGCACATGAAGTGCTCTTTGTCCTGGTATGAAAGTCCTAGTCTGTGTTTCTCTTGTTCTTGGTAATTTTTCACTACAAAGGAAAATCACGCTCGCTCTTAGATGTACATCGATACATACTTAGATATTCATAGAATCAAAAGTTCTTAGCTATTTATAGAATCAAAAGCTTAAATTGTGTTCCTCAGTTTCTCTAGATCATGGTGTTCTAGTAGTTAGAAGACTACTCGTGACACAGTTTTGAAGCCACAGAAAAGTCACATTGTCAGGTGTCAGTTTTCTGGGTCTTTGGTCTCTGAGTTCCCTGCTTCTCCCTTCTCTCGCCACCCCTCAGGGTTTGTCTGCTCAGGAGAGGCCCCGATACGGGGCAGCCAGAAGCTCGGTTGAGAGCCAGCAGGGAGGAGCGTTGCAGAAGCTGTAGGCCTTGGGGACTCCACATGGCAGCCCTGCCCGTCAAGCTGGCTGTGGTTAACACCCTGATAGCATCTGTGGGACTGAGCAGCGGTCCCTGGGGATTTTGTCCTGAGCTGCTTCAGCCCAGGGCCAAGCAGGGCGTCCTGCCCCTCAGGGATCCCACAGTGTTTCCTGGGTGGTGTGGCATGGTTTCCATTCATAGTGAATGTCTTGTTGATTGGTTTGGGCCTGACAAATCCCAGCTCCTCTGCCCCTCATTTCTTTCTACTTAAAATCTCTAAAAAAGACAAAATATGTTTCTCTGAATACTTAAATTCATTTGAACACCACCATTTTGAGACATAGTTATGCCATTAATTCCTCATTTAGTTAAGGAAAGGAGACTTGCAAGCCTGCCCATAATTTGGAGCCATGTTTTCCATCTGTTTAGCATTTGCAGAAAACCTATTCTTTCCATGCTTATGTGCTAAGACAAAACTCAGCTCTGCAAAGCAGAGACAGCAAACTCCTGGTAGAGCCCGAAGTCACTGTTTGGCCTTTTGCTGGCTCCCCCAGCTCTGGCTGTGTTTTCACTGAGGCAACTGTGGGGGAAGACAGCCCTCCTCCAGGCCCCAGGCTCACTAGCTGCTTCCCAAAGTGGCTGGTGGCACCTCCTGCAGCCAGAGCAGCATAGGAGGGAGGAGTCCCGTGGATGGCTTGATGCTGTTTCAGGGCAGAGCCCGTTCTCTCTCTCAGACATGGCGGGCTTTGTCCAAACTGATCCAAGTGTCCTTATCTTGCACTCAGTTCTACAATTCTTGGGATCAGTGGTTGGCAGGGCATCATGCACGAGAGATGTGAGGATGTCTGGATGAGTTTGTTTCAAAAGCTGAGCTGGGAAAGTGGCATGGCACAGAAGACGAGAGAGTAGGAAGCACCAAGAATCCATTCCTCCACCAAAGCCACTGTTGAACCGACAGTTACTGTCTGAAGCAACTATTCTTGGAACTCTGGAGTCTGATTGAATGCTTGTAACATCCGGGGGAGACTAGATGGAGAGGCTTCTTTATTTTGGTGAATTTTTGTGTTTCACATGGCAGCATTCCTCTCTCCAGAGCTGCAGCGGGCAGCTGCAGCGCCCGTGGCCCAGGCTCACGGCGTAGCCTGTTGGTGTCACGGTGCTCAGTAACAACATCGACCTTCTGGGAGACAAAAGTCAGGGTTTTGTGTTTAGATTGCTGATCACTGTATTTGATCACTGAGGAGTCACACAGGGGCTGGGACTATTTCAGCCCCTTTGGGATGAAGGAACTTCCTTGCCACAAGGGTGGAGACATACATACCCTTTTTCTCCACCACCCCACCCACCCCTTTGGCAACATTTAAAGAAGTTTTTGTTACTGGCTGACCACAGAGACAAAAGAATAGAAACTTCAGTGACTGCACACCACAAGGAATATACACTTTGCAAAGAGTTTGGAAAAGTCACAAACAGATGGTTCCAACCCGTAACAAGCACACAAATCAGCAAGCCCCGAAGCGTGAGAATTAGGTTTCCAGTTACCACATCCTAATACTCAGAATGTCCACTTCTCAACAAAAAATTACAACATACAAAGAAATAGGAAAGTATGGTCCATTCACAGGAAAAAAAATTTCACAGACATCATCCTTGAACAAGTCCAGACATTGGAATTATTAGTCAAAGACATTAAATCAACTGTTAAATATGTTCAATAAGCTAAAGAAAACCATGGACAAAAAACTAAAGGAAATCAGGAAACCTGTGCACAAACAAAATGAGACTATTAATATAGATAGAGAACTTACATAAGAGAGATAGCATCTCGTGCAGTGGTTAAGACACTGCTTAGCCGGCATCCCATATCGGAGTACTTCTGCTTCTGATCCAGCTTCCATCTGATGAGCACCCTGCAAGGCAGCACGTGACATGCCAAGTACTTGGGTTCGTACCATCTAACTGAGAGACCTGGATTGAGTTCTGGGCTCCTGGCTTCAGTCTGGTCCACCCCTGTGTCTTGTGGGCATTTGGGGAGTTAACCAACAAGTGGAAGATCTCTTCCTCTCTCTCTCTCTTTTTGTCTTTATCTCTCTGTCTTTCAAATAAAGTAAAAAAATTTTTAATTAAAATATATATAAAGGTATGTTTATAATATAATGTATATAAAGGAACCAAACAAATTCTAAAGCTGAAAATTACAATTATAGAAATAAAAAACTTACTAGAGGAGCCAGCACTGTGGCGCAGAAGGTTATGCCTCCACTTGCAGTGTTGGCATCTCACATGGGCACCAGTTTGAGTCCCAGCTGGTCCAGTTCCAATCCAGCTCCCTGCTAATGCACCTGGGAAAGCAGTGGAAGACGGGCCAAGTGCTTGGGCCTCTGCACCCATGTTGGAGACCTGGAAGAGCTCCTGGCTTTGGATCAGCCTAGCTCTGGCCATTGCAGGCATTTAGGAGGTGAACCAGTAGATGGAAGATCTCTCTGTCTCTCCCCCTCTCTTATCTGTAACTCTGTGTCTCAAATAAATAACTCTTTAAAAAAAAAAGATAAAGATTGTCACATTGGATTTGTAAACATAGGATCCACCTATGCTGCCTAAAGATAAGGACATGAAGAGGTTGAAAGCAAAAAGATGAAAAAAGGTATTCCATTAACTACCAACCAAAAGACAGCTGGAGTTGCCATATTATTCTTAAACAACTGGAATTTAAGCCAACAAGAGTTGTAAGAAACAAAAAGGATATTTTATATTGATTAAATGTCCAACACACATTGGGGCTGGTGTTGTGCAGCAGGGCAAGCTATTGCCTGTAGTAGCAGCATCCCATATGAGTGTTGCTTCCAATCCAGGTAATGCACCTGGGAAAGCAGCAAAAGGTGGCTCAAGTGCTTGGGCCCCTGTACCCATGTGGGAGACCCAGTTGGGCTTCCTGGTTCCGGGCTTTGGCCTGACCTTGCTCCAGCAGCTGTGGCCATTTGAGGAGTGAACCAGTGGATGGATGATCTCTCTCTCTTTGACTCTCAAAAAAAAAAAAAAAAGAAGAAGAAGAAGAAGAAAGAAAAAGAATAAATCTTTAAAAAAAAGAAAAAGACAAAAGATCAATAAGGAAACAAAAGGGCTTGAATGACACTATAAACCAATTAGACCTAATGATACACACCACCCAACAACACAATACATTCTTTTCAAGTATGTATGGAATGTGCTGTAGATAAACCATATATTAGGCCGTGAACTGGAAGATGAAAGATCTCCCCGCTCCCCGCCCCCCCCATCACTCTACATTTTAAATATATAAAATTAATCCTTAAAAAAATGCTTAGGGATAAATTTAGCCAAGGAGGTAAAAGATGTGTATACACTGAAAACCACAAAACATTGCTCTCTCTCTCTCTCTCTCTCTCTCACACACACACATACACACACACACAAAATGACCTGACTAAATGGGAAGATGTCACATGTTCACGGGAAAGAAGACCTGAAATGACTAGGATGACAATGCCATCAGAGTGGTCTCCAGACTCACTGTCAGACACGCCAGAATCACAATGGTATTTGTGCAGGAATAGAAAACGCCATCCTAAAATTGACAGGGACCCCTACATAGCTGAAGCAAACTGAGAAAAAAGGAACAAGATTGGAGGATACCCACTAATTTCTTGACTTCAAAGTTTACTAAAAGGTACAATAATCAAAAAAGTCTGGCAGTGGCATAAGGAGAGACATTTAGATCAATGGAAAGAATTAAGTGCCCCAAATCCTCACATGATGGTCAGTTGATTTTCAACATGAGAGCAAAGACCATTTAGTGGGGAAAAAGACAATGTTTTCAACAAAAGGTGCTGGTAAAATTGGATATCCCCATACGAAAGGATGAAGTTGGCCCTCATTTTTTACCATATATAAAAATTTATTCAAAGTGGATCAAGGTCCTGGACAAAAGAGGTAAAACTACAAAATAATTAGAAGAAAACACAGACCTTGGATTAGGCCATGATTTCTTCAATATAGCAACAAAAACAAAACATAAATCATTCACACTATATCAGAATTTAAAATTTTGGGATGGTATTAGCCGGCGCTGCAGCTCACTAGGCTAATTCTTCGCCTAGCGGCGCCGGTACACCGGGTTCTAGTCCCAGTCGGGGCGCCGGATTCTGTCCCAGTTGCCCCTCTTCCAGGCCAGCTCTCTGCTGTGGCCAGGGAGTGCAGTGGAGAATGGCCCAAGTACTTGGGCCCTGCACCCCATGGGAGACCAGGAGAAGCACCTGGCTCCTGCCATCGGATCAGCACGGTGCGCTGGCTGCAGCGCGCTGGCCACGGTGGCCATTGGAGGGTGAACCACCGGCAAAGGAAGCCCTTTCTCTCTGTCTCTCTCACTGTCCACTCTGCCTATCAAAAAAAAAAATTTTGGGGATGGGCATTGTGGCACAGCAGGTTAAGCCACCATTTGGGGTACCCACACCCCAAATCTGAGTGCTGGTTCAAGTCTTGACTGCTTCTGATCCAGCCCCCTGCTAGTGCACCTGGGAAGGAGCAGAGGATGGCTCAGGTCCTTGAGTTCCTGCCGCAGACGATGGACTGGTCCAGTCAGCCTCACTGACTTCAGGGTTGCAAGACATTGGCAGAATACTTATCAAAAATGAGACCTGGCTGCCGTCATCTTAGAACAGTGTTCTGGAGAGCCAGAGGGCAGGAGGAGGTGTTTCAGGACAGGACCCTGGAGGTGGCAGTGATGGGAGCAAGGGTTAGTGGCCCTGGAGAGGCCAAGCTGCTGCTCCAGCTGCTAGGTTGGGGTTTGGCACTGGTCCCTCAGGGTGTCTGGAGGCCTTGCCAGATGTAGCCAGCATCCTGTCCTTAAGCCACAAACTCCTCTGCACACTCCCTCCAGCTGGAGAGTGGGGGAGTAGCTGGCAGGAAGGCATTGCACATGGAATTAAGGTGTCCAGAGCTGGCGATGCCACCCTGGCACGGTGAGCACCAGGCTGCCCTGGGGGCTGTGCGAGTGGCAGCTGCCATGGATGACAGACGTGTGCTCTCTCCTCAGAAACAGACTGAATCTGATCGGATCACTGTGAAGGACGGGCCGGTCTGGACGCTGCCTGCCACAGGAAGAGCCAAACCCGACTGCTCCACGTGCTGTTCCTGGCCACCAGGCACCAGGAGAGCCTCTGCAGGCCACGCAGCAGCCACAGCCCGCCGCCACTGCCCTCGCCCTGCCCGCCACCACGCCAGTGGAGGAAGTAGGGTTCTCGTCAGTTCTTCCTCCCACAATGTAGGACCTTTCCTTTGCCTTCCAGTGGATAAAATCATTCAGATTTTATATTCATAGAATCAAGTTTTTAACATATACATCCGCCTATATACATTTAATAAACATCAGATTGCAGACACTTTCATTACATAGAAACTTTGGTTAGCACAGCAGTACATTATCCTGTGCATCATCTCTGAAAATGCCCTGTGTCTGTTCTCTGGGAAGTGCTGGGGCCACAGGTGCCCCTCACCTTCCCCCATTGAGCAGGGGCTTTTAGCCCACTCAGGGCCATGGCCGGAGCCCCCAGCTGCCCCCCTTGCCTTCCTCAAGGAAGCAGTAACTGAAGAGGTCTCTGCTGTGAGTTCTGAGCAGCCCCAGTTCAGCCAGGCTGGCCTGGCCTTGAGGGCCCACAGCGCAGGACCCACTGTTCCCTTCTGTCCCAGAGCCGGCCCGCCCCCAAGATCAGCACTGCATGCTTCCATTCTCTCCAGCTGCCACCACCCTGCTGCCTCGCTTGTTACAGCAGTTTGAATCGTGGACCATAGCTTTTCTGTTACCAGCTAAAGTATCTGTTGATAAGCCTAATGCACTGACCTATGTGCCTGTTTCCTCTCCCCAGCCACGTGTAGGGTGAGAGGAAAGTGGGAGAAGGGGGTGGGGGAGGATGGAAGCTGACGTGCCAGCCACGCTGTGGCCATAGCTATGGTGCTGAGGTCTTCAGGGCCCTTCCTCAGCCCAGGACAGAGCTGCCTGGGGCAGGAGAGCACACTGGTGCAGCAGCAACAGTGTGGGCTAAAGGGATTTGAGGACTTCCTGGAATTGTTGGAGCTGGACTGGTTTTCTGCATGAAGACCTGCATAGGGGTTCCTGGCGGAACACACAGAGGCCTGCCCCTACCAAGGGCCTGGCAGGCTGCTCAACACATGCCTCATGGGTGCTGGGCACCACTGGTCAGATTGGAATGTATCACCCAAATTGGAAGCTACTCTATCCACTTCCATCTAACCCTCCTATCCTTTTGCAGATTGAGAGAATCAGGAGAAAAGGGACCTTTGAAACACTGAGAACTTGTTCACGGAGCTCTACGCAAACCCCCTACTTCCTCAAGCTAGCTGCTGTGAGAGCAGCAGGTAGCAGGGCCACCAAGGATTTGTCACGTGTGGTCCCACTCACCTCTCAGAAGCCACTGCTTCCTGGGCCCAGCTGGGAGGAGAATCAGGAGACTCCAGAGGAGGGGGTGGGCACCTTGGGCCAGACCTGGCCGTGTTTTAGGCACTGTCTTCTTCCCCATCCCACCCAGGGTGCCTGCATGGGGGTGGCGTCTTCCGCCTCCCTGGAGAGGGCACTCTGTGGAAACCAAAAGCCCTAGAACCCTCACTCTTGTCAAGTACTCGCCTGCCTTCCCTGGTCCAACAAGGGGCACTCGTTTCAAACAGGGAAGTTGTGGGTACTTGGCAGGTGCTGCAGCTTAGTGTCGCACCCTTTCCATTTGGGGACTGAGGTCTTTGCTTCCGAAAGCCTTTGAGGAACTGCCAAGAATGGTGAGTGATGGATTGCCTTCCTTAGAGAACAGACACCTGGGACATTCCCCTTTGTGTTTATGTACATGCAGGTTAATTTATATATACACACATACAGCGCACGTACTCATCAGCTGCTTTACTCCTAAAACGTCCACTTGAGGAACTTTGTGGCACCTGGGTATTGGGGAAGTGTATTGGAGGGAATGTGGGTGCACGGGGCAGCTGGGGTGGCCCTGCATGAAGCCATCTCCAAGTGTCCGAGAAACCACCCGGTGTGCCTCACCTCCAGAACCCTGCATGTGGTGGCCAAAGGGCTGTGTCTGTCGGAAAGGATTTTTCTGGGTTATTTTGTTACCACTGATGTTTGATTTATAACCCAAACAGAAAAAAAAAAAATGTTATGTGGTGGATAAGGTCATTGAGGACACAGAGAGCAGCCAGCCTTGGGCACCAGCTCGCTTTTAGGTGGAAAAGTGCTAGTGCTGCCTGCCCCGGCGTGTTTTTCTTGCAGATGTTGGCTCTGTCCACTAGCCAGGGCCACGCTGCAAATGGCAGGACTGCCCAGGTAAGGAATCCCTAGACTGGGTAGACCCTCCCTCCTCCTTCCTGTGATCTTGGATGGGGCTAAATAAGGGTGGCTTGGACCTTAATGCTTGAAACAGTATAATCAAAGGTGACAGAGGCAGTCACCAAGCAGGTGCTTAAACGGATGTGGTGGTAGATACCAGGGCTTGGGTGGAAAGATCTGTATGCAGCCAGCTGAGCACAGATACCCTCCCCGCCCCGCCTCAGCCAGAGATGTGGTCCCATCACAGGACAGACCGCTGTGACAGCCTGCAGTCGTAGGTGTGGTCTGTGGGTGCGCAGCTGAGAGGTGCAGTGAGGTCACTGTCATGAAGAAGCCCTTTTTGTGGTGACTCATAATGTCTCTTCTCTGCACTTGGACTTGGAGGTAGTAAGATCATCTTGTAGTTTCTTGTCTCTTGCGACTTCTAGTTGCCTAAGTTCTTTTTTTACATGGGTTGTAGATCCAGTTTTAATAGGTAAAACCAGATCAGCATTCTGATAAAGGAACTTTGAACTTATGATACATATACTTTTCATATTTTAATTATTTGTTTTAATTTTTGACAATAGCAGAGACCTTTTATTTTGGGATTGGGGAGTATCATTCTGGGGAGTCCTGGGCTCCTGAAAACCGTGCCATGGCCAGCTGCTTGCCAGCACTTTGGGTGTGACGTATGATGGTGTGACGTAGAGCTCCTTTTTATCGGCCAAGCAACAGGCGGCTGTTCTGGTGGACCAAAGCGCCGTGACCCAAAGACCCAAGTACAGTGCCTCTCTGGAGGCAGAAGGAGGGAGCGGGGCAGGGTGTTACGTGGTACCTTGTGGGCTCCCACATGTTCTAATGGCTTCGTCCCCAGCTGGCTTTGGGAGGCTGTCCCTCTAGGAAGTTGCAGTGTGTTCTCCAGGCTGAGCTGTGGCTCCTCTGAGTTTTACCCTGCTCAGTAGCCCAGTGACAGGTCCTGTGTCCCCTCCCTTCTGCTCTGGGACGTCTGTCCCATGATTGCCTCCTGTGGAAGGTAGCTGTCGGCCTTCCTGGGTGGATGTTGGTCTTTCTGTGCACATCCTCTCCCTCACTCCTTTCTTATGCTCTGTCCCTGTCCTGGGTCCTGTTGCCTCTTGTCTTCCTAGTCTTTCCTTGGACCCAAATCCTCAGATTGGAGCAGGTTTTCCAGCTCAGGCATCACAGCTCCCTTGGATAAAAGCATTTTAAAGGAGAGGAGAAGCAGCCAAGAAGAAAATCTTAGGCAAAACCTAACCTGGAGTTTGAGATCTTCCTAAAGTCACCACCTGTCTTCCTTGCTCAGTTTACCTGGGGGTGTTTAACTCAATTTTTGCATATTCTTTTGTATCATACCACAGTCATTTGCAAGGCTAGAGAACTCACTAGACATATAAAGGTGCACACAGCCAACCCTTCCAGGCAAAGGCCTAACAGAACTTGGTTCTCCTCTTTCCAGACATGGAGCGTCTTCATTAGGGTCTAACTCAGCTTCCTTCTCTCTTTTCCCTGTTAACCAGCCCTCCTGGCCTGCCCCAGAGAACCTCCAGCATCTGAGCAAGCAGGGAGCTGTGGGCTCAGGTCTCTCCTGGACCTGGCATCAAGCTGAGGTACCCACCATCTGGTTCGCTCTGATCATTTAAGTGGGGTCTGGGGAATGGCTGAGCTGTGCAGCGACCTCAAGAACATGGACTGGTTTTGCTTCTGACCTTTACTGGGTGGAAGTGGAGTTCGAGGTGGCTCCTTGATTGCTGCCTGCCCCAGCTCTTAGTTCCAATGGCACCTGACAGGTCTCGGTTAGAATTCCTTTCTGCTGGAGTCTGCGTTTGCCCCCAGCCAGGTCCCCCTGGGAAGGCTGGGGTGAGGGAGGCCACAGACATGCTCCCAGATCGAGTCTGTGTTTTGTTGTGAAGTAGGAGCAGCACACACCAAGCATGTGGCCCTAGACACACTTGAGACCCTGCTTTTTGGCTTAGCAGCCGTGAGCTCACTTGTCAGGATGAGCCAGCCAGGGCCTGGTCCTTCACCAGAATGGAGGTAAGACAGAAATGCATCAGCCCCGGACGCAGCAGGAATGTTTCTGAAGTCTGGAGCAGGGGAGGAGCCTGGAGCCTGGGGGCTATGTTAGGCAGACTCTGGTTACCATGTGGACAAGATCAGGAGCAAGCATCTGCTTCCTTGACTTTTAGAAATTGTTTTGATTGGCAGGCCGAAAGAAATCCCTCAGAGTGGATGTGCAGTTGCTGCTCTGTTGTTGCAGCTATCAGAGCCTGGCTCTGCTGCTGCTCCAGCAGGAGCCGAGCAGAGTGGGCACAGGGCGCAGTTCTGGAGAGCACACTGGCACCTTCCTTCTGTGCCCGTGTGGGCAGAGGGCCAGGGTCCATGGAAGGAGCCTGTGTGGTACCTGCCGGCAGGCCTGTTCCTTCAGACCGGCTCGGGGAGGGTGGGTGGTGGACATGGTGCATGCGCGGATGAGCAGCTTTTCCTGGTCATTGCTTTTTCATTTCCTTCTTTATAAATGGACAGTTGAGGATTACTTGTTGTGACTGCAGTTGAAGGTGAAATTGTCTAGGATACAGGTTGTTGAGTCACTATGAGAAGACTGGTCTTTCCTGGGAGGAAATCCCAGCCAGTAGAATCACTGTGAAAGAATGAAAATCCACCACGTGGTACCTACGAGTCTTGTGATTTGTGCTTCAAGATTCTTCTCATTCATCCCTGGTGCGTGCCCGCCCAGCTGTCTCTTGCAGTTTGCTTGACATGGGGCCAGAGCCTGATGGCACTCTCAGAGCTGGCACCCCCTCCTTAGCAGGGACCTGGCACTATAATAGGACTGCTCCTCATGAAACTGGGCGAGGGAAGTGGGCACCCTTGTGCAAGCTCCCACCGCACGTCTGAGCAGCCACTTTGTTCAGCTGTTTCGGGGAGGTCAGACTGTGCCATAACTGTTATTTAAAAATCAAGCCAACCCTCCTCTTTCCTCTGCTGGCCATTGTTCATTGAGTTTCACTGAGCACAGCCTTTGTGGAAGTCAGGGAGGTTGCCAAAGGTTTGCAGATCCCTTCCTGACCAAGTCCCAGTCCCTGCACGCTAGCCCCTGTCTGCGTTCTGGTCTTCAATGCAAACCCTGCTGAGGTGTGACTGGGGAGGACTGGGGAGCAGCCTGCCTTTGCTGCACTTCCTGCCTCCCAGAGATAGCCGAAGAAGTGATCATCCTGGTGCTAAGTGAAAAGCAAACTGAAACTTTAGCCAAACTGACAGTGCGAGAGGGCCCCACCCCTACTGTGGCCAACCCTCAGACCCCAAACGAAGGAAGCGGCACAGTCCTAGCATTGAGATCTGCGGGGAGCCCTGGGAATTCTGGACCCGGGGTCAGTGTTTACAGGACACAACGTGCCTTTGGTTTGGACGCGGGTTGTGCCGAGTGGGGCTGCCCTCCCTGGGCTCAGTCTCCAGGCCTCACAAGGTCCCCTGTGGGGATGCTGCTATTTCTAAGATGCAAATTGCACATTTCCTAGATTTTTGTATCTGTGGATTTGGATAAGGGAGGGGAACAGGGACAAATTGCTTGTACAGTTTGAAATGGGCCTCCATGGTACTTCAAGCCCTTTGATTGTTCCTAAATAAAAATGTAAATACATTTTACATCTGCTGCCTTCGTCTATGTGGGAGGTCAGGGCAAACAAGCTCAGAACACTATCTGCTGACTTGCTCTGTGGCCAAGACTGACCTTAAACTGATGCACAAGCAGCCAGTTTCCCTCAGCGCACTTCAGAGGAGCTTCCGGTTCCCTGAGGCTGGCATCGCTGAGGTCACTGTCAGGAGTTCTCTGTGAAGGAGCTGTTGTTTTAGAAACTGTGCTGAAAGGGCAAAGGCAGATCTGGAGACACCAGGGCTCTCGTGAGACGCTGGCGTGGTGTGGCGTTTGTCTACCCTGCTGGGAGTGAAGAGCCGACAAGCAGAGCTCGCACTTGCTGAGGGGACTGATGAATACGCGCTAAGGACCCAGAGGCCTCCTGGAGGAATCAGGCGACAGGGTTTGTGGGGTAGTCCCAAGTGCCTGTGGCAGAAACTGAAGGGTGCCCCTGAAATAAACACAAAACCCCTGGGGCACATGCCAAGGCACAGTGGTGATTCTGGTCCCAGGTAGATACCGGGGCCTGCTCCTCACTCTCCTTCTGGAGCCCGAGGCCAGCCTGTCTTGGGGACTCAGCTGTGCTGAAGCTGAAGAGCCAGACCAGAGTGCTGTGGAACCCTGCAGCTCGTTAGCTGGGCCCGTGGCGGGCACAGCCTCTGGCAGTGGCAACGGCACACCCACACTGGCCCTCCGGCTGACAGAGCTTGATCCACAACCCCATTCTGCCCACTGAGCTAGTTCAGTGGGATAACATGATGGTGTGTTGGTGTGGCCCCACCCTGCCAACATAAGTGATACAGGAAGATGTTGGACTCGGGTTAAACAGGGAGTTTCTTGCCCCAGGCCCAGCTCTCCAGTGATGCTTCTGGTCAGGAGTGAGGCCCCTGCTCTTTCTGCTCATGACCACAGTTAATTGTTGGTGGCAATTTCCTCAACTGAGGTTAGAAACTGCTCCTGCCTTCACTGGTCTTGTGGCAGGAGACAATGTTGCTGAACCCCGGGGCAATGCTGCCTGTGTGTGTCCCTTGGGGACAAAGTGACCATCTATTGCTTTGAACCTGCTCTCCAGCCAGGAACAGTCTTAGGATGCAGACAGGAGAGCCTGGAGGCTGCAAGGGAATCCGCTCATTTTGCCAGCACCCCTGGGATCAGTGACTTTGCCTCCCTCTGACAAAATTACCTTGGAGCTAAGGCCCCAGGCACTGTTACTTTTCAGAAGCTTCCCAAGGCCGAGACTCCCTGGGTTACAGCCTTGTGGGTGGAGAGCAGTGCTAATCAATTTGTGCACTGGACACAGCCCGCATGTGTGGGGTGAAGCAAGCCACTGCTGGATGCCAAGACATTCGGGCCCAGGTGAGAGTCCAGCCCCATCAGCACACACACTCCACCCTGCTGCACCTCCTGGGCCACTCTGCAGGAAATTCATGTTTAAATTGGTGAGACTGAGGACTGCCATATTTTCCATTAGGAAGAGCCAAACGTTTGCAGGAAGAAGCAAAGTGTACGCTGTCAGGAGCTCAAGATAGGTGCGCCAGGGGTCTGAGAAGCCGCCTTAGGGAACAGGGCTGTGCTTCCCCCAGGCCATGTTCCAGAACTCAGTAACCAATGAACTCTGGGGTCATTGCCAATAAAGACAACACAGGTGGGCCCCAACTGAAGGGCCAGCGGACTTCCTCCTTCCCTGATTAGGAATGTTTTCTCCCTGGTGCACAAGAATCTGCAGTAGGAAAACATGGATCATGAGAGCCCAAGTTCCCTCCTCCTACCCCCTCTCTGAGCAGAAGCTGTAAAGCCCTGGGAAGAAAGCCCCAGGCCAGCCAGAACCTGAGCACTGTGGCTGTCAGATCCAGTTCAGGGCATCACATGCAACATTTAAAAACAGAGTGGTGGCCGGCGCCACGGCTCACTAGGCTAATCTTCCACCTGTGGCACCGGCACCCCGGGTTCTAGGCCTGGTTGGGGTGCCGGATTCTGTCCCGGTTGCCCCTCTTCCAGTCCAGCTCTCTGCTGTGGCCCGGGAGGGCGGTGGAGGATGGCCCAAGTGCTTGGGCCCTGCACCCGCATGGGAGACAAGGAGAAGCACCTGGCTCCTGACTTCGGATCGGGGCAGCGCGCTGGCCATAGCAGCCACTTGGGGGGGTGAACCAACGGAAAAGGAAGATCCTTCTCTCTCTCCCCCTAACTCTGCCTGTCAAAAAAAAAAAAAAAAAAAAAAAAAAAAAGAGTGGCATCATCTTTGTCCAACTCTAGCACAAACCACTACAAAAACAGAACTGTGGGAAAAGGCCCTTTCCAACCAGTGCTCCAGGCATGGAGATTTGGGTTCCGAGTTACAGAGGCAACCAGAGTGGCACCTGGCAACACACCCTTGAAAGCTTCTTGTCTGAAACGACAGGTTTCTGTAGAACCAGAAGAGGGTGCTGGTCGCTCCTCACCCACCATCAAAGCCGGCTGGAGCGTGGATTCCAGCAAGGAAATGCATGCTATCCAGTCACACTGGCAGAGGACAGGCTGGGAGAGAGTGGCCCCATGTCTAATGTTAGCCCAGAGGAAGGGAAGACATGCTGGACCCAAGAAGCTTCCCGAAACTACTTACCTGCTTCAACCGCTGAATAACTACTCAGGGACAGGCCTTCCTGGGCTCCCCAAAAACATACAAGTTAAAGGAAAAGGGACATGAGGATGATTTATTTGGCAGTCAGATTTTAAGAGGGCAAGAGAACTAGCAAATGGCCAACCCAGAGCCCAGCCACGGGCAGTGGGTTTGCGTGTGCTGGATGCTGGCTGTACTATGAGGCACCTTTGCGCCCACGGGCCTGGACCCGTTTCTGTCCTCAGGTGGGGGCTGCCTTTCCAAACCTTTCCATCTTATTTGTGACTAGGCAGAAGCTGCAGTAATGCGGCAGCTCCATCCTGCACCTGCCTGTCTTCACACCTCCCCACGAGACAGGCAGCTTCTTAATCCCTTTCTCATTCCTAAGAGAAAGCACACCGAGTCATCTTTGCCTTAAACAACAAACCCCACCAGAATAGGCCTGGCTGCGTCCTCTCTGCCCACCTGCTCCTCCTCTCTGAGCACGCCTCTCAGCTTCCAAAACAGCTCTGCCAGCGACCTGCCGCTCCCCTCTCACAGGAGGAGACTGAGGAGGAGGAGGAACTAACTCAGCTACAATACCACTGAGAAGAAAAATAATACTGCTATTTTTACCATGATCCCCTGTTATCTTTCAGGCTAGGTGGTATCCCCAGCCGTGGGCGATGTGCCCTTGTGCTGTGTCCTCCGCTCGGGCTGGGCAGAGCCCTTCCCCACACAGGCCCTGCATTCCTCTGTCCTGGCTGCAGGGGTGTCTAGCTTCTTACCCTGCCCAGCTGTGGTTTTAAAGCTACAGGACAATGTAAACTTTGTTTCCTTGGCCCAGCAAGGCTCCTCCTTCTTCTCCACTCTTGAGAACCTCAGCGGCTCCTTGGAGCCTCCTGTGCTGCGGGCTGAGGCAGCCACTCCACGGGGCTTCGGCTGTGGTCCTGGCCCCACATGATCGAAGGATCCACCTCCAGAAGTCAGAGCCAGATGTGTGTGCTTAATGCGAGACCCACTACAGTTTTTGCCTTCACCCAGCGCTGGGCTTGGAGGCCCCAAACAGTACATCTCATTAATGGCTTGGTTGTCTAGCATTCCCTGCTGGAATCCAGGCTCCAGGCTGCGAGACCAGGAAGGCTGCTCCGAAGAACCCAGCTGACGGCGCTCCACGAGGCGCACACCCCTGCTGCTCTCCAACAAGGCGGGAGCACAACTAGAGGCGGCTGTCTCCATTGACCCGAGTCCTCCTTGGGGCCCTGGATGGAAGAGAACGTCCTTGCTTACAATGGGAACTTGTAGCCCAGCAGTGCAGCCCCGACGCAGACAGTTACAGCTTTTCTCCCCAAGAGAAGCAGACAACAAACTGGACAGTCTTCCTGGCTGCACTGCCCCTCCCCTATGCTGCCCACTGCCCCTCTGCCTCCCTCACCTTCGTTCTCGACCATCAAAATGGTCTGCAAGATGCTCCTGGGAAATGCGGAAGTCCTCAAACGGCTGCTGGTAGCGGGCTTCAAAAGAACCTTCTCGGGCTCTGCCGTGAAACAGCTGGCCTGAGGCATCTGAACCCCGTTCCCGCAGAGACGTGCTACCAAAGGGACTGAGGTCACCATTCTCCTGCTTCAACAAGGGCCAGTGCACATTAGTCAGCGACAGCCCTGCCTCTGGGGAGGCCGCTGCCCGGCTCTCCGCCCAGCCCAGGCAGGCTACCCTACTTACTGCTACCTTGGCAGGGAAAATGTCGATCTTGATGAGCAGAGAGGCCAACTCCAGGTCCTCACTGTAGTTGTTCTTCAAAGGCACTGCTCTGTATCCTGGGAGGAGCAGCACCGGCGTTCAGCCCAGGAGAGAAAGCAAGGGCCCAGCCTACCCACTAGAACATTACCTTGAAGGGACCTCACCTGTCTTCAGGCCTTTCACTGGGAAAGTAGCCTGAGCCAGGAAGTTCTGGTCACTGAACATGTCTTCTTCATATACCACAAAGCGCAGGAAGGCAAATTCAGGGTTGCTGATCTGGAAGTGGAAGGGCTTGGCGGGCCACATCGGGTTCAGTCCATTGTCCACTGCAAATCAGAGCAGACGGCTTCAGGCCCCACCCTGAGAGGACGGGGTGAATGGTGGGAAGGGTCCGCAAAGCCTCCCAAAGGAGGAGGTTGTACCTGGAAAAGGCAGACCTACCCACAAATTCTGTCTTCTGCTTGGTACTGTCATACTCTGCTCCAGCCACCTCAATCTCCACGAAAGGACACACAATGCCTCGGCCATTCTTCGGCAGATGCCGAGCCCCCAGCACCTGTGAGACAGCCAAAGCTGAGGCCAGGGTTGTCTTTCCTTTTACCCCAGGTTCCCAGGGGAAGGCACAGGGTGAGCAGCTGTGAAGTGGAGGCAGTGTGCCCTCTGCTGGCCACCAACGATGCTGCCTTTTTTTCTTTT